TTTAATTGGACTGTTTGTCTTCCATTTAAGTTGTATGAGTTTCCTATATATTTTGGAGATTAACCTCTTATCAGATACTAGAAACCCAGCACACACGAAATCGTGCGTGGTCAGGGTCCCTAGGCCTAGCCTGGCCTCCATTGCATGGCCTCTGCTGCCCTGCGATGCTACGGCCTGTGGGCCAGGGGAGGGACCGAGAGGTGCTCCATGCACTTCATGGTGACCGGTCGTTTGGTCATTACAGCGTTATGGTCACTCGTTTTTTATTATATATAATTGTAAGTTTTAAGAGATGTAAAACAATTGCTATTTTGAAACTTCCAGAAAAAAATAATATTAACAATGAAAATCCTCACAAGTCCTGGCTTTGTGGTTTTTAAAACCTGTAGCTCAGACTATGGAACCTCAGAGGGAAGGCAGGGGAGGGTGGATGGGAAGAGATCAACCAATGAACTTGTGTGCATATATGCAAAACCCAAGGACACAGACAATGGGGTGGTGAGGGCCTGGAGGGAACAGGAGCGGGCTGGGAGAGGTTAATGGGGAGAAAAGGAGGAGGTATGTAATACTTTCAACAATAAAGATGAAAAATGAATAAAATAAATAAAAATTGTATTCTGTAAACCTTTCTGCAAGTGAAGAGAAAGACCTAAGTCTAAGCCCAAATTTTAGAGCAGTGCAGGGAGAATGCCATTCAGTGGGCTGTTTAGCTATCAGACAGGGCTCCTGTCCTTCTGCCTGGAACAACTAATGCAAAGCTCCGGATTCAGGGCTCACTCAGGCCTTGGGTTTCTTTAAAGGGCAGAGGGCAGAATAGAGACCCAAGTCAGACACAACCAGGAAGCAATGCCTGCAGGCAGGGATGTGCTGGGAAATGCTGTTTTCCTGGTGTCAACTGCACTTGCGAGGATCTTGGAATCCACAGCTCTAACCCAGCAGGGGCGTTCTTGTTGGAGCCCAGGCTCCCTTACTTTGTTTTTATTTTTGTTGCTGTTCTTGTTTTGTAAATCACCCCCTGCTGGTCCCTACCGGAGTCTTTCTTTTCAATGATATTAAAAATAAGAGCATCTTTAAGACGTAGGCTTTCTTTAAAGTGTATTCCCATTTCTGTAATCAGAAATGTGTGTTCTTGGGTTGGTAGCTTTCAGGCAGGCTCAGAAGGAAAAGGTTGTGTGTGGGGAATAGGACCAGGTTTCTAACCCCTGGTATCCCTGACCTGTAAGGACACAGTGAGCAAGTGTTAAGATGAGTACTTCCCTCTGGTGGGAGAGTCCTGAATGTTTCCTCTAACAAGGGAAGTGACTGGCATGGGAGGAGCTGTGAGCACAGCGGACTCTAGGAATGTGAGTCACACGCTTCCTGTCCCCCCCCCCCCCCTCCCCGGGAGTGGAGCAGGTGAAACAGACATTAAGGGGACATGCTGTTCTGTCCTTAGCACTTTCTCCATTAGTCAACCTGCAGTGTTGTTGTTTGCTTGTTTTTAATTTTTATCTTGGTGGGTTGTAAAATCCTGGCAACTTATTTTAGTCCTTATGTTACTTACTCTTATTCTAGGTTTCAGTAAAAATTATTAGGGATAAGTGAGCATGCACATTTTAAGTAGAAGCATAAGGAAAAAAAAAAAGAATCTCCAGATGGTTCTTTCAAATTTTTCCAAAGTTTGCGTCCCAAAATTCAGGAAAATGCTACTACTCTCGGAAGCCTGGACATGTCGAGGAGCATGGCTATTTTTAAGTCATGTTCAAAAAGGGTCAGGGCACGCGGCATTTTAATAAGATCACCAAGAAAGATAAAGGCATCTAAATTACATTCAAGGAAAATTGTTAGGCATACAATCAATGTTTAATTAGGAATTGCAAGCTTCAACTGACATTATCTCCATTCCTGTCTGAAACCTAGATTTCAACAAATATGTGTTTTTAAAGTTCACTTCAACCGTAAGCAAATCTGATGTCAAACTAGAAGGCTTTGAAGGACACTAAGTAGTTTTCATTTGCCAGTATTTAAAGGTAATTTCTCTTTCCTTTTCACATTCGATAAAGTGATAAGATAAAAAATAATGTCAATTAAAAGCATTGACACTGACGATCAGCGATAGTTGGAAACCAAACTGAAATATGAATTTTTTTGGAATAAAAATTTAACCCCCCAAAACACATCTATTTGTGTATTGGCAGTAATCAATATGAAGAGTTCTTTGTTTCAAGGACAAAATTCTCAGGAAGAGTTTTGATTTTCCTCTGAGTCCAATGATAGATGTGTCAATGGAGAAATATTCATAGAACATTAAATTTTTGAAGATTTCCTCCTCATATGAATTAGTTTTCAAAACATGTATTAAAGTATTTTAAGTACAGTTGGTAAGCTACTCTGGAATGGCAATAAGATCCGTATGAAATTTAGAAATAATTTAGGCTACAATAAAATTAAATGTGCCAGGTGGTGGCTTATAACACTGTAAAGATATAGTTATTGTAAGTAATAAAGCTATAGAATTTAAATTTGATTTCATTTAAAATATAAAATATGTATTATTAGCCTCAGAACTTAATTTTCTATTATTATCCTTTATTACTTTGAATATTTTCCTGTAGATCAGCATATTCTAAAGTACATTCTTGGGAACACTAGTACCACAAAACTTGCCACACACTAAATATGTGTTATTGCCCTGGCCTGTGTGGCTCAGTTGGTTGGGCATCAGAAGGTTTGATTACTGGTCAGGGCACAAGCCCTGGTTGCAGGCTCAATTCCCAGTAGGGGGTGTGCAGGAGACAGCCTATAGACGTGCTCTCACATCAGTGTTTCTCTCTCCATCTCCCTTCCTATCTCTCTAAAAATCAATAATTTAAAAAAGTGTTATTCATCAAATAGATTTGATAAAAGTTATGTATTATAAAGGCGTATAAAAATATTTTGTGTGTGATGACATTGTAATATTGCTTACAAAAGGGTTGATCTTTTAAAGATGCAGGTTCCAGTGTTTGTGAATGAAATGATGCCATTTCTGGCATTCATTTCCACACATTTTGAAAGTGGAAAAAATGATAAAGGTGGGAATAAGGATGGGTGAGCTGGGCATGGGTTGATGCTACTGAGTTTGAGTGATGAGTACATGTGGGCTCACCATACTACCCAGCCTACATTTGTGTGTGTTTTGTGTTGATTAGAAATTCTCCATAACAAATAATGAGTAAATAAACAAATAATAAGGGATGCGTATTTCTTGAAAATTTTTATAGTACACATAGGAGTGGTGAGAAATCCTGGGTTAAAAAAAAAATCATTTGTTTATCTGTGCTCTTCCCCAAAGTACTGACCATGAACTATTCTTTTCAAGGACCACTTACTAATATCTCTCCTGGGCACTGTGGGGACATCAGAAGCATTGTTAAAGGAAATGCAAGCCCAAAAAGAATGAGTGGTAGTGCATATTTGGAAATGTAAGGGGACATCTGTAACAGTGTCAACAACAAAAATAAAAAATATTATAAAAATCCACTTTACTTGTGTATAGCTTTCAAAGCAAATTACAAAATGCTTTCTGTCACCAGTTCTTAATAATAGCCCCATAAGGTATAATAAAGCTTTTGCAAATCATAAAAAAGAAGCAATTCTTTTTGATTGACTATTAGTCATAAATCTAGTTGCAAATTCTTAATAGCTAAGTGAAAAAATGTGTTAAAAAGTCCACATATTGTAATCAGCTTCAAGGACTCCATATTTATATATTTTTTATCCTGAGTTTTGTATAAAATTCAAGGGTCTGTTTAATTGCTATATCTATAAATTATTTTACAACCTAGGAAAATTATACCTAGTAGAAATATTCCTTAAAATAATATCCTATAATTGCCAACTAAAACTTACATTTTTACATAAAATGCTTTGCAATTTTGCATTGTGCCAGAAGATGAATTTAAGTTTCTAAGTAAATTAAAGAAATTTATTATTTTTAAAAACAAATTATACATACCTTTTTAACTTTCCGTCTGAATAGAGACAGCCTGCAATACTATTTATAGTTGTCCTTTATTTCCAGCTTTTTTAGAGCCTAGCAAACATTCTTATTGTTGACTTTTATGAAAATTCAAACTAGAACATTTGCATTCATTACAATATACTGCCAAAATGGCATTAATTTCCACGGATACCCATTAATTTGATAAATGTTTTGTCATTTGTACCATTTGCACTGTCAAAACAAGTTAATTATATCTTACTGACATTTTTGACAATTGCTTTAACTCTGGCAGAAAAAAAAAAGGGTCTTATTTACTTCAAAAAATTCACTCTTGCCGAGGGAAAGACTGAAGGAAGCAAGCGAAGACCTTGCACGTCAGAAGCATCGCACCATGAAACTCAGGACCAATGCTAAACGGTGAATCCTCAGGACTATTCTACGGACGTGCTCATGTCTTGTAGTAGAAAATGTTACAATACCTGCGTAATCTGTTCTTGCATAATGTCCATCTTCAGATTTAGTAGTTGTAGTTGTGTTGTCTGTGTTAAAAAATTAACAACAAAGATTGGTTAACTATTTCTTAACACTTAACGTCAACTTTATATAACCCCCCAATAGCATTTCATTGCAGTTAAGGTATTTTTACAACTACACTTCTAGGCAACCATTACACAAAGACAGATTGACAATGTCAATTTCAGTTTGAGGGAGAATAATAGAATGATACCAGCTTTCTAAATTTTAGGGCAAGGGGAAGGTTATCAATATAACTAAGATAAGTTGGGTAAAAAAAATAACAAGTCAAAAATCAACAAAATATTTCTGAACAAGAAACAAAGTAGAACATTCTGCGTTAAAAATGTACTTGAAATACTTCTATTGAATCAATATATAACAGTGGTATGATTTACTTTTAATTTCAAAGATTCTTTCCTAAAATGATTTTGACTTTCTTTTTGTCCTCCGCAGGGAGAATGTCTGTTATCTTCTGAAAATTGTCTCTCGTGTTTCTGGCATTGTGAAGGTACAGTCCCGTTATACAGAAAAAGATATGGGCCATGTCCATAGGCCCTTAAACTTATAATTAACACAAATACCACAGTAGACTCTACTAGCCATTATACATCAGAACTGCCTTTTGGAATGAAACAGCTGCCTACTAAGAAGTTTTCGTCACTTTTATTTCTATACAAAGACTAAAACATCCTGTGAAATGAATTTTTTAAAGTATTTTTATTGATTTCAGAGAGGAAGGGAGAGGGAGAGAGAGACTGAAACATCAATGATGAGAGAGAATCATTGATTGGCTGCCTCCTGCACACCCCCCTTCTGGGGATAGAGCCCATATGGGGCATGTGCCCTTGACTGGGAATCGAACCCAGACCCTTCAGCCCACAGGCTGACGCTCTATCCACTGAGCCAAACCAGCCAGGGCCTTTGGAATGAATTTTAGTGTAAACATTACCTTGACATCGACCCAGCGACAGGACTTCGATTTTCTCCTGCTTCTGACATGACGCCTCCTTGATCTGACAGGCGTTATCGTAGGACTTCCCGTCGGAGGCGCAGAGGGGGTTGAAGTTGGTCTGAGAACAGTCAATGTTGCACACACACCTAAAGAGAGAGAGATCAAAACATGTCACGTCAGTGGGGACATTACCACGCGATGAGCAAAACACCACGTGAAGAACCGTGAGGTTGGCCAACAGCAAGTTGGCAAAACTGAAGAGTTTTCTTCCAGGGAAGTTCCTCACATTTCCACCTGACACAAAAAGAGAACTAATCACAACTATTTCAGACGACCCAGCCGTGGATGACAGACACACGGGGAAAACTCAGAAAGGAACCGTCAGCGGGTCCCAGCCACCGGGACTTGGAAAGCCCGCACATGACCTTGACGCTGAGCCTGCACATGACCTTGATGCGAGCCCACAGAAGCTGCACAGGCTGCAGCCCTGCCCCTCTGCTGTGCGTCTCCTCCAGCGAACCTCCCTGTGCTGGTCCTTCCTCGGGGTGCTGGATGGGGAGAGCCCGAGGGAGAGGGTGCAGACGGTATTTAACCAGGAGCAATCAGAAGTTCCATTTCCTCGGCATGCGTGCGGTGCGCATCAAATGTGCTGACCCAGAACCCTCAGTGATCCTTAACATTTTGGGGGACACCGAACCTTGAGAACCAAATGAGAGGCGTGGATATCGCCTCAGAAATACCCACAAACAAGTCTGCGTCACGTGTTAGGGGTTCCACGAGCCCCTTGAGGCCGCCCCTTGGCCCTTCCCCAGATACCCAACTCTTTTTCTAGTTCAGTTTTAAATAGGAAGTTGATTATCACTCATGATTTTAGTACGTTTCTTAATATAAATAAAAATGTAGTGAATGAATGAGAATTACGCCGCCTGAATTAGGAGAATTTTTTAAAGCAAAACTTTAATGATTTTTTTCTGCTCTTATAATTCTCTGTCTTTTACAATGTACTTTGTCATTCAGAATATTGTGTTGTTTTTGGCCTTCAAATACTTACTCTCTTAGAATATGAAGTCGTCTTTGAAATTTCTATTAATAGTCATATTATATTTCTAAATAGATTATGTGCTTCTCAAAGTGGTGAAGCACACATTTTCCTTCTGTATATCATCTTCCTTAGAGCTGGGCGCCACTATACTGAGAAAAGCACACAGCTGACCTGCTGGCCCTTTGCATGCCTGGCATTATTTCATCAGCCCAACAGCCTGTTACAGACCAATGACATCATATAAGGTCAGAGAGCTAGTAAACTATGGAATGAGGGAGGACCCTCTACGGATGTGTTAAAGTAAAACCCGGCCCCTTCCTCTTGCCAGGGAGTGTGTGTTAGAATTTTCCAGAAAACTTTAAAATATACTGATTAAGAGGCAAGCTTCAGGGGTGGAGCCTAGAGTTCTGCATTCTCAGGCGGTTGCCCCGGCAGGGGTCTCACCTCCTGGGAGTCGGTGCTGGATCTGATCTGTTTGTTGATGGAGAGGGTTGTCCGCACACCAGTGTTTCTGAGTGCCGTCCTCAGACCATCGTATCGGAATGGTCTAGCTCTCTGCTGAAGAGGCCGGCAGAGAGGTGCGAATGCACTTCACTTTTGGGGGTAAGAGAACTGCTTTAGGAACACTTGGCTATTTTTACTTTCACCTGTTTAGGGACAGCGAGGTAGGATAGAGGTAACCATCTCTAAATGCTCCAGTCATTCAGGAGTGGCTTCCTACTTTAGCTGTGATGGTGCCGTGTGACCACAGCTATGGGATCACAACGTTGCTTGAAATGGCATCAGGAACTTGTAAAGAGTCGAATTTGTAGAAATTCATGTTCACGGAGCAGAGGGGTTTTGTGTGTTTGTATGAGTGAAGGAGAGAGAGAGAGAGAGAGAGAGTGTGTGTGTGTGTATGTGTGTGTGTGTGTGTGTGTGTAAATGGGCTCCGTGGTGGTATTCACTGCATTCTCAATGGTTCTATTTGCTAGTTTTATATCTTGACTTTTCTACAACCTTCTCATGGACAGTATGTCTTTTTCAGGTCGATTTCCTGGTACCTAGCACAGCACGTTGGAGCGAGTTTTCAATAAATGCTTGTCGACTTAATTACCTAGTTCAGAATGGCAGGGTGGGCTGGTGGAGTTAAAGAAACGGTCCTTGTTCTAGACATGAACACACCAGAGAGAGAACCAGTCACACGTTCACATAACCTCTCCCTAACTTGGCGCTGCTTGGCCTGTGGACTCCCGAAGGAAGGAGAGGGCGGCCTGGGAGAGCTAAGGCCCTTCCTACTTGGGTTTGCGGCCGCACAAAGGAAGCAGCACTGGCCCTCAGTGGCTCAATGGCACTGAACTCCCATTGTGAAAGGATGGGTTTGCCGGGCTATTATTTCTATTTTGTGGTGCAGATTTGGGGAACAAATATAATTTAAACATGGCAGTGACTTAGTTTATTGCTACCTGAAACCACTAAAAAATATAAGGCTCTGATAAAAAAGTGACAGAATTATCATATAGTGTGATGGTGAGATTGCAGGTCACCCTGGATTAATTTGCATATTTTTCATAATTATGCAAATTAATCCAGGGTTTGTGGTTTTTTTCTTCTTTTCTTACAGAAATGAAAGGCAGACATTTTTAAAAGCAGAAACTATCCCTTCTTCACTGCCTTTGGCAAGTAATTGCATTATTATTCATTCTGAGAGGAGTAACTAGTTAATTACAGCGTGTCACAGTATTCATGTAAGCCACGGATTTGTTAGGCTTCGGCCGGCATGGGTGGCGTTAGGGATTTTTTTGGCGCTTTTTCTTCTTCTTCTTTTTTTTTTTTCAACCTATCTCAGTCTTTTGACATTTTGGCACTGCAGTTGCATAGATTTCTTGTCTTCTAGGCTACGGAGAAAAAGAATAAATCTCACTTGAAAAAAATTTTAGGGCTCTGTCTGTGGAAATACAGCCCTGTAAGATCCTTCAACGAAAATTAACATTGACTGAAAACCTTTGCTCTCTGAATCATAAGAAAGAAAAGAAACATCCAATCATTTCCAAAGATCACCGGATGAAGTTAAACGTCTAAATTACAGGAAGTGGAAGGCGGAGTCTAACACAACCTAAAGACACTGATAATGACCTCATGAATATTCGGGCAGGGGCTTGACTTAACTGCGTCCCTGCCTTTCCTAAATGGCTCTCTCAAGTTGTCCTGCAGCGAGTTAAGTAGGCTTTTCCCGAGTATTTATGAATGCTCGTCCCCTGGCCGAGTCTGCGTAAGGACGCTAATGCGGCCAGGTAGTGAATTACCTACTCGTACGTCTGGTTGGTGGTGGCCCTCTCATCTCACCAGATTTTGTTCCCTTTATCAGGCATGCCCGTCACTCATTCCTGTCCCAAACTTCTTGGCTGGTGTCCCTTCTGAGTTTCGGCCACACAGCATTTCTGATCAGCTTAAAGCAGCCAGATGCAGGGCCCTGGGCGAGGCTGGCTTCCTGGCTGCCCTGGACCCAGGCTGGAGCGTTTCCCTGGAGCCGGTCTCTGGGGAAGGAGGCAGACCCGCGCTGGCGCGGCCGGTCAATGAGGTCAGGGCTGCTGTCTGTGCTCTCCATCAGAACTGTCATGGAGGAGCTGCCTCCCATTAATCACAGCACAAACAGGGCACCTTTCACTCCAGGCCCTTGTGATAATTTCAGCCCGTTTACTCATTAACTCTCACACCACTCCTGTTGATGGAACTTGATTACGGCATTTTATCTGTAAAGAGACGGCAACTCAGGGTGAACTGTGACTAGTGAGGGGAAAATGAGATGTGAAAATCCATTGAAAACTTCAATCCCCTGTGCAAGGCGTGTGGAAGCAGGGGCTGAGAGGTAGACTAGGAAGTTGACCGTGTGGTTACTCGGGATAGGCGTGAGTTTGGTATATACATTGGAGAAGGGCAACCCTTATAGTTTTGAAACCCAGGAAGAGCAATGCCTTTCTCCAGGCATGTGACCCAGGACTGCAGCGAGCTTCTCCAGGGGGACTGGGCTTATCTTGGATGTGGAAAATGTTTAGTTGCCATTGATATCTATGTCTTTACAAGGAGGAAAAGGATAGCAGTTGGCCTACTAGATGGGAAGTTCTCAGGAATATTGGGGCAAAGCCTAGGACAACAAATGGCTACTCACTGGGTATCTATAGGAAGGAAATGGAGTTGAGAAACCCTTCCCCTGGGGTGGGGGCGGGGGGGGGTGTACGCAGAACTTCCAAAACCAGAATTATATACTGAACATGGAGAACCATGCCTGGGGAACATACTGATGGTCAGATCCTATATAATAAAAGCCTAATATGCAAATCTACCAAACAGCAGAACGGCCAGTCGGCGGGGGACAGGGCCAGCAAGCGGGTAGTGTCAGGCCAGCCAAGGCAGATACCAGTGGGCAGAGGGAGGGGATGGTGACCAGGGGTGACCGGTGGTGGAGAAGGGCAATCAGGGGGCGGGGCCGGCTGCTTCCCCGCTGGGGAC